TGGAATTTCTAGAAATCTTTAAACTCTTTTTTAATATCTTAAAGAAGTTTTTTTATTATTATTTTTTGTGTTCATTCGTGTTCTATTGATCATTTTTTAAAACAAAAAACAATGTTTCGGAATTGATTTTGAAAAGTCTTTCAAAATTCTATTAAATTAGTACTTCAGATATTCTTCTTAGCTTTTGAACTGTGAAGATCCCCTTATTCTTGGTTGTTTCTTTCCTTAAAAACAAAAAAGAAAGAAATATGAACATTGTTTTTCTTAAGTTTCGTTCGTTTTCATGCTTAAACATGTTTTATACGGTAATATAAAGTATAAAGTTATGGCTTCCTCCATTTCAAAATCTTATTTATTATCAATGAAAATAAAAGCTTACAAAGAAACGTTAGTGAGCAAGCAGTGGTCCTAAATGTGGACGAAACATTAACGTCCTAGTAAAGTTTTTATGATTATGCTGTTATTGTGTGTAAAGCAAAATTAATGTTTTATTACGCCGTAATTTATTTTTAAAATTGTGAAATTTAAGTATTAGAAAGACGAGAAAGTCTAACATGTAATGCAAAATTGTTATCGAAGCATCCTTTAATTCGTCTTTGATTTGGGATTATATTTCCTGTAAGTGTAGCCTATCAAACTAAATCATTGTTGGTTTCATTGACAACCAATGGCAGGAGGATTCTCGATTAATCCGCGTAGGAATGCTGAATAGTGAGATAAAAGTATATGATTCAATCGGGAATCGAACTTGGACACAACAATATTTGTATTGAACGTTATTAACGTGTTGAATGCAATAAATAAATTTTGCAATATTTTATTATTTATAGAAAATAAGAAAATAATTAGCGATCAATTTTAAAAATTGATTCTAAAAATATATTTCAGTGTTAATCAAGAATGTATTTTAGGTTAAAATTATTGGGCTGCAATTCGAAAAAATTACAGACCTATAAATTCTCATGGTGGCCGCCATCAGTCTGTCTGTCCTTCCTAAATCTCGAGGATGGTGTTAATCAGATGAAAGTTGAGACCAGATTCATAAACCATAGAGACAGAAGGTCCCAATTTATTATATACAAACGTCTGAAATAGACAGAAAAGTTAGATGAGCAATTAAATATTTCTCCTGAATGGCATTACATATATAACTGGCATGACTTTGTTGTTATCAGGAAAAGTGTGATATACAGGGGCATCTCTACAAATTAGAGATGGAGAACATAAATTTTAAATTGAATAAATTCAATCAATCAATCAACATTTATTTCTTATGGCTTTCGCCTTTACAAAGGGGGTTACAAAATCGTAATGACATTAACAAATACAAACAATGTTATACATAATTACAAAAATAGTAATATTACATAACATTACTAATTAAGTTAACATGTTTAATGAATAACAGAAAAATTTATAAACTTTATACAACATAACAGAACTTAAATTATCATCGTATAAACAAAACATATCAAAATCAGTTGTCAAAAAAGGTCCTTTAAGTGCTCGGTAAATTCACAAGATACAAATAAGTGGTTCTTAACGTTTTCACAAAATCTATTACATAGTAGACAATTTGAATGAGCCGATACATTCATTATACGCCCATTTAATACAATAGTATAGTCATTAAGTCGTAGTTGTATTATTAAAGATTTAATATTGTAACTTAAGTTTAATAACAAATAATTTCGGGGCGTCCATGGGGAGGATAAAAAAGTTTCAAAAAAACTACACTTTTGCTCAATATAATGAATATCTTGGGCCCAATATTTATCTTTTAATGACTGAAAAAGTTCAGCTAGGAAAAGTTTTTTTTTTTATTAGGGATTTGAGTATAATAGGCAATAGAATAACCTAAGTCAGACAATAAACGTTCGACTGAAGAAAACCAAGTTACAACCAAAGAATTTTTACCTATTAATTTCAATTTATTATAAACCAGCTTTCTAAGATCAAATTCTGGTAACTCTAAAATTTTAATCCAGTATCTAAAAATGGTCAATATAAACGTATAACCATTGGCGGACGGCCCCTTCCCAATTCAAGTCTTAAAACAGGTCCAGGCACGATTAATATGGAATATCGATCTGATAAATCTCAGTTGCATCTTCTCTAGTTTATCAACAAGAGATGATCCCCAAATAGGAAACATAAATCCCAAACTTGAACGTATCAAGGAATCGAACAATCGAAAGTTTGACTTAATAGAAGACTGCTTCATTCTAACCACAAGCTTTTTAAATTAGACAGTTGAAATTTATATTTTAAAAACAATTTATCTAGGTGAAAAGAAAATGAGCCCTAAGTTGAATAAATTAAGAATATGATTAAAAATTACAGACCTGTATTGTGACAATGTAGTGCTTGTAAGTAATTGTTTGTTTGTTTATAACATTCTGTATAGAATTTTAATATTACAGATTTTTAATAAAATAAAACAAAAATGAAAATAGAAAAATATTATTTAATCTCAATGTTAAATTAAGATTCGTCTTCTATTCATAAAGTAGAATTCTTCAAACTGTTGTCTATCGCAAAGCTGTCAAATCATGAAAAAAAGTATAATGTTTCGTGATGGTGGCCAGATATTTTTTTCTTTTTAATTCTGGCTCATTGCCATGGCGAAAGTAATACGTTTTCGCCCGAAAATATTGCGTTTTATCGTTTTAACTTGTCCAATTTTTGTGTTCTTTCGGTTATTTCGCTTAGTTTTCAGTAATAGTTAACAATTGTTTCTTCCAGAGAATTCTTGTTTCAATTCCTATTCTGTACAATCGACGACGAAGTTACTGACACAGAAGTTGATGCTTTCCATTCGTTTTATAGTACTCGTGTTGTGCAGATTGATTGTTTTGGCTCCGTTGGCGAAGAATATGATCCTCAAGAGTCCTCGAAAGCTTATGCCAGCCACGCTTCTAGTTTGTCCATTTTCTCTTTTCTCCCTCAGAAGCTTAGAAACATAACAAAAGTTGATTGAACCTGTTTTTTTTTTATCCTCGGTTTAAATATTTTGTATTTCGTATTTCGAATTCAATTTATTTTAATTCGAATAAAAAAAAAACTGAATGATTTTGAGGAGTCGAATCATTTATTATTTGTAAAACATTTACTACCATCATTGCGTTGTAATGAGAAGAATTGATATACAAAAATATACAAAACTTAAATATTCAACAATATTTCATAATTACTCATTGCATAAAATTAAAGAAAATGGGCGAATTATCAATATTCTTTGGTGAAAAACAAAAATTTTTATTTGCTATCTTGCCAAAAATTATTTTATCGATCTAACACCGCGATTACCGCATTTTTTTTTTTCGTCTATCATTATCATTATACTAAAATCAATTTATTTAACGCAATTACCAAATACACGTAGTGTTCAATCAATTTTTGGCACCTACGTAAATGTTAGATAATTCTTACCATAAGTTGTTATACTTCTCACGCATTTCGATAATCAATATTACTGTTATAAACGTCAAGAAATATTATATAATTTATTAAATGTTTAAAATAATGAATATGTAAATATCAACTATTAATACCAACTTCGTTACGGCTTAATCTCCGAAGGATATATATTTTTTATGGTATAGTTTCGAGTGTTGGATTTTATATCCAAATTCCCTGGAGCGGTCAACTGTTCTTAGCTCGAGTTTATTTTGACTCTAAGGAATTCTCGAATTTCTACATTTTTATAAACAACCGAGTTAGAATTTTTCTTTATATATATATATAGCTATTATTGTTTTTTGCCGCTATCTATAAGAGAAAAAAGAGAAACTAGTGGACAGAAATGCACGAAAGTAATTCAATTTCCTGAGTTGAATTGCATTAGTTTCGAAGTTTCGAAAACAATTTTATTTAAATTTGAATTCAAATATTAACATTTTAATAGTATTTATGTTTGCTAAGAAAATTTTGAGTCGTTTATTATCAATGGATAGAGAAGCATTCAATCGATTAAGGGCTGCAATAAACATCATCTGTCCTTATTAGTAGCCAAGAAATATTATTACGGCTACTCGTTAGCAAAGTTTCTTTTTTCGATAATAGGGTCAGTTATGCTTCGGTTCAAATTATTGCTCCTACATACGTTGTATTAGTTATTTATAAAGGACAACAATATTAAATATTAATCATTAATTTTCCTAATAGAGAATCGTTATCGTGGAAAGTATAACTCTGAATCATATTTATAATTTTGTTATATTAAAAAAAAATAAGTTTTCTCTCTAGAAAAAATAATAATTAAAAATAAACTTTACGGTAATTTTACTGGAAAAGTATTTTAGTAAATAAAATAATAATTTGATTTTATTTCTTTATTGTTGCATATTTTCTCCAGTTAAATTGTTTAAGTACTTCGCAGGTAATAAAGGTGAAAAAATTAATATAGACATTAAATGATTCATTTTAGTAAAGAAGAATAATCATTTCTAAAATAAAATTGCTTCGTTCTAGACATTAAAATATTTTTAAAAAAAATTGAATTAAATTCTCGGCAATTTAATTCAAAAGAATAATAGTTTCGAGTTTGTTTAAAACAAAAATTGTAAATAAAAAGTGGAATTAAAAATAAAAGCAATTTGAGCAAAATCTAGAAGTGACTTAATCGCTATTTCTCGCAATTTCCATTAAATGAAAATACAAAGAATGTTTTGGTTGCAAATCCCTTGTTCTCATGCAGGTAATCACATTTGTGTAGCTAAGAGAATCGTATATTGTTAGTTAAAAGATACGAAAAACTGTTTTATCAGCTATTTCTAGTAACTTACACATAACAAAGATAAGACTTCCGTTCTTCCACATTAACAACTAGATTTATTAAGTTTCAACTGTAAATTATCTATTAAATTCGGCTTAAGAAGAAACGTCTTATGTATATAATTCATTGCATTTTTATTATTATTTTAAGATAAATATTTAATTCATTAATTTTAATGCATTCTATAAAATATGTAAAACGTATTTATTTTTTTAAAATTTAGATTACGATGTCTGCAAGTTAGAACGTTTTACCTAATTTGATTCTAGAAGAATTCTGTTCTTCGTAAGTACTTATTTTATTAATTATGTTTAAAATAATTTAAGGAAATCTCATTTTCAATATGGTTACAAGAAAATATATAGTAACCAGTAAAATTCCTTTTGAACAACATTGTCCCGATATTGGAGAAGTCTGTAGACATTGAGTAAACAGAAATACGAAGTATGAAGAGGGGATTCTTCACCGCTGGCAAACATTCGTGTTGACAAGATCTGATGGAATATAAACAACAGTTCCCTCTTGGAAAGATCAATCTCACCACATAGTCCTTTAATAATTTTTATTTATGAAAGATTGCCAAGTTCTGTTTATATAAATCCTGCTGAATTTATGTGTAATTTCAACAAGTTTAAATTTATGGTAGATTAAGTAGGAACTTAGTGGAGTTTGGTTAAAACTAACGTCTTTGTCAAATGATGTTATTATAGCATTACTTTAATGGCCTTATATATTTTCACCGTTCTCTTATGAACACTGGATTTATACAATGCAGTTGGATAAGTTTTGTTTCCACTAATAAATTCTATACTTTTAGTGTCATTTTCGATATCGTGTCAATAAATCGCCATTTATAGCAATCACAAATGACAATAGATGCTTTATTTGTTTAAATGCCATTGTAATTATACGAGTACATTATTACAGTAAACACAACCATTAAGCTTAATCATTAATATTTATCACAATAAACGGAGTAAAAAGCATTTTTGTAAAGTGAAAAATTAGAAAATAAAATTAATTTTATCACATTTAACATGCGACTTGAGCTAATATAAATATTTCTACGCTTACATGAATAAAATGATAAACAAGAAGATTTAATAATAGATAAATTTAACTGTTAAAAAAGATAAAAATTCGAAAAATTTCATTAAATTTCAGCATCTAAATAAACCGCTTATATTATGATTAATCGGCAAAGTTTCAAAATTTAAAATATCTTGTCATCATTTGGAAGTTCCCTTCAATTAATTGTAAAGCAACCATTAAGTTTTCAATTCTGTTTAACTAACTAATTAACTAGATATTGGAATAACGATGTTTGAATGTAATGACCAATTGGTAATGGCCAAAGATATTAGACCCACAAAACAATTTATTGACGTGTCACAACCGAATCAATGTATACGAATCAATTTATAACAGAAAACAATTATTGTCAGTTAACGAAACGATGCGAATTAATTATTTAAACTATCGCCATGTTTTGTCGTCGACTACAATATCTAATAATGTTTTCCTTTCACATTTAATTGAAACATCGATTAAGCCATATCAGCAACTTGAATAAGTAAATTTTCTAATGATATTTAAAAATGTTTACAACTATTATCCAATGCATATCTGTGCTACAATTAACTCAAATAATAACAAATTTTTATTTAAAAACTGACAAATTTCTTATTATTTTTGTTTGTATTTGTTAAATCTTTATCGATTTTATGATTTATTTATAATAATAAAATTATATAATTGATCAAAAAATGGCAAAATCTAATTTCAATCTTCGATTAGACATTTCCATTATCGATCTCGAATTCGTAGGAAACTTTTGTGTAATTTTTCTAGGAAAATGATAGCTGGCACTAAAGATAATGCTTGTTTTAAAATTCATTTTATCTATTAAATTAATCATATAAATCAAAAATAGCATAGTTACACTTTAGATTAAATTTTCGTCAAAAAATGCGTGATTTACAATCACTCCATTGACTTGCAGATTAAAAACATAAAATTATTATTACTCCGCTGATAACAGTATCAGTAAAACAGAAAAAAAAGGAAAAACTTTTTCGACACTCGCTGTATATATTAGCAAAATCCATAAAAACTTCAAACTCGCAATTCTCACTTTTTCAAATAAATCCATATCCATAAATAGCGTAAACCAGAATTTAAACTTTAGCCATTAGAACAAGAACAATCTAGAAAGTTGAATTACCTTTATATGGCAACTAGCCCTTAAAAGAAGTCGCGTGTCAATCTGTAAAACTAAGTCGCATCATGCATTTCATCAAGTTAATGGCTTCTAAGAGCAAACATGTCCATAAAAAGATATTTTTTCATGGCTCTGTAAACCGATGGTACTTGGATCGATGACCGAACTACTCGATCATCATTTCCTCTGACCAACTCACACACTCCACCCCGAGAACAAACATAGACTCAGTTGTGTATTTGACACCTCTAGAACGAATTCGCAAATATATCACCGAATATTGAAACACTATGAACTTAACTTAATTGAAATAACATTTGTGCTATAAATTTGTTCGAAAAATTTCTTCCTTCTACTATTAATATAACTCGTTTTATCGAGTGATTTTATTTCTACAAACCAGAAACTGGCGGTGCTTCAAACGTTTAGAACGAAAACTTTTTCTAACTGAATTGAAAAAGAAGTTGAAAAAGAAATTTAAATCGAAGTTTAGATTGGAGCATCAACCTGTTATTCTTAGCGAAGGAATGAAAGTTGCTAGCACCAACGTGAGACTTTATCAACTGGAGACATGTCACTGACCTCTTTCGTAACTGCCTGGATACTTAACCCTCCCTTGCCGCCTGTGTTTCTTCCATTTGGGGGTTGTCCCACAGAGATCTGCCTTCCATCCATTAATGGAACAGTTGGGTGGGAAAGAACGTAGTCTCTAATCTCTAAGCCTCTTTTCTCTTTCTCTTTGCTTTCTGCGACCTCAGGCAAAGATTACACGAATTCCACCGGGTACTCGTGACACGTGACTTAGTCTCATCTGAGAACTGTTGTTATAAAGTTTAGAAGCGATTTTTACTGGTACTATATTAAAAAATATAAGTTATTAAAGTATTATTCTTCCGTAATACTTAATGGCCAAAATAAAGTTTATGCAAAATTCCCATTAGGACATCGTTAACTTTTAACTGTTAATCTATCTAAACTTGTATTATTCGCTCAATTCTGGTAAACGTAATGCTACATTTTAATTTCATCGAGGTTCTTCTATTAAATCGCTATTATCTAACACCAGATAACACTTACTTCCCTACACTGTTTGAGTTCCGTCGAAGATTGTTTAATTAATTTATTTAAAATTTAACAGCTTACACACGATAAGATTTAAAATCACTGAGTTTAAATTAACGAAAGATTGATTAAAACATCCCTTTTCTTTTGACCTTTAATAAATATTTATAAGGAGATAAGTGATAAAAATAATCAAGTTTCTATAAAATTAAATACATAAAAACTTAAATCAGAAAATTTGTTATAACGCAATAAATCATAACATAGACGATCAATAGTGATATACTTTTTATTCATTTTTATAGAAAATTTCCTGTAGTTAGCTTAGATTAATTTTCTTCCCTTAGAAGTTATATAAATCTTTATATATAACGTAAAAAATAAGAGAAAACGAATAAGTATAACTATTTTTTATGGCTCCAACTTGTTTATATTAGCTTATTCAATTCCCTAACTCATTTAAAAAAAGATTACATGTCAGAAAATTAATATTAATTTTCGAATCGTTAATAATTACTTTCACGCATTAGCTTTCAATAATTCTTTATAAAATTAAATATACTTTTATAAAAAAAAGTCCAAGAAAATAATTACAAATTGAAGAATAACTGTTCAATCATATTTCTACAAAAGACATCTAATATCTTAGTGATTTACATAATACTTTATTTTTAAATTACGATTTCATTTTACTTTGTTTTTAAATTGCAATCAATTATCATTAATCTTCAGAAATCCTTCTCTCTTCTATCTTTCTCAGATTGCATGTTCAGTATATAAATCGATTGGGTCTTTCAATGCTTCTAAATATCGTAAGCTCTTGTTGATCACATAAAATACCTCTAATTAATCTATCGACAAGCAATTGGTCCGCGTTGATAAACAAATCGATATTAATCGCAAACTTGTTCCTCCGAAAGATCTTCCCAAAGTCATCCAACAATTTTTCATATTAATCGCTTTATTCCCGATAACAATATTTTAATCTTTTGATGGAAAATGTCTTTATTATTTTTCACTTCAAAATTACTTTCAAATCTCGGAAATAATAATCTCGTTAAGCTTCGAATTGTTATTAAGGCCTCAATAATTAACCAAATAGCAGTTAAATGACTTATTTTTCTTTAGAAATTTCATCTATTTTCTAAAGAAAACAGTAAAATTTAATCGAAATTATTTATTTTATCATTCGTAGAAAGGATTAATTTATATTATTTAATTAATTTTTCAATTCAATTTATAAAGAAAAATATTTTCCTATTGCAGCATTAAAATCGACAATAATTTTAATGAATATCATTAAATTACCAAACAATAAAAATAAATTTAAGTTTTAGAATTTAATTCCTTAATTTCTTGAAACATATTCGACTAAACAGAAATTAAAATTTTCTACGTTAAAATAAAACTTTACTAAATTGGAAAATTTCTATCTTAAATTAGCATTTGTTACATAAAATATAAAATAAATTTTACAAAATATTTCAGACGTTTTCACTATTTTTTAAGTCTTGCAATATCATTATCGAAATATTGAAGCCGTAACTGCGCTTTGCTTGACATTTTGCAGCCTCCAATTACAAGTAGAGTGCCAAGTAATGGTTTCTTAAAAATCCTACGTGGCATTCACAGACATTGTTACGTGTTGCTGCTAAAAGAAAATATTTATCAAACTGTTATTTCGACAGAATAAAGTTTAAAATTATTACTACTTTCTCATAAAATAAAAAAATATATAATTATTTTATTAAAGTTTTATACTTCTTCGGTTTTGCGTAGCAATTTATACTAATTAATAAATCTATTTCGCTAAATAATAAAAAGATACTTAATAAATAATGAGCATTTATTCAAATTTCTGTAGATGACACTCGAAAGGTTAAAACTGGAAACTATTTAATGGATATTTAAAGAGATAATTCAATGTTTAGTGCGCATCACTGTGCCTGTTTAAATGACGCTTAAGAAATGTAAAAAATATAAAATTATATTATTTTGTTAA